GCATCAGGGATGTTTTATATGGCAACAGCTTCTTCATGCCTCTGAGGTACTTACTGGGTTGGCAGCCTGCTTCCAGAGCTCAGGTAGGCTCAAGGTCCATTGTCATGACTGCAGGCAGCCTCCCTCTGCATGAAAAGCCCCTGGCTTGATCAGGGAGCTGTAGTCCAGGGCAGGAACACACCAGTTGCCATGGCTGGGGGCACAGCTGTGTGGACTAGAAGTTGCTGGCTTCTAGTCCTGGCTTTAAGTCCTCAGTATTAACCTCTAACATTGATATGGTTTGGAAGTTTTATTCCCTCCAAATCTCATGCTGAAATGTGACATCTAGTGTTGGAGGTGGAGGTGTTTGGGTCATGGGGGTAGACTTCTTATGAATGGCTTGGTCCTGGAGATAACGAGTTCTTGCTTTATGGGTTCATGTGAGATCTAGTTGTTTAAATGAGCCTGGCACCTCCTCTCTCTCACTCCTGCTGTCACCATGTGATGCTGGCTCACCTTTGTCTTCTGCCATGATTGTAAGCTTCCTGAGGCCCTGACCAGAAGCAGATGCTGGCACTATGTTGTGTACAGCCTGCAGAACAGTTAGCCAAATACACTTCTCCTGATGTTACCCAATCTCAGGTATTCTTTTATCCAACACAAACAGGCTAACAAACACAAAGATATTACTGAGTTTTTAGTTTTCCTTGTGCTAATTTGCCTTATTCTTCACAATCACACTGCAAATATCTTCTCAGTCTTATTTTACATATCTGCAAACTGAGAGAATTAGCAACACTGTCCAAGATTATGCTAACGAAGTGGTAACGACAGGTTTTGAACTATAAGACCCTGATTCCAAACCCTTTCGTTTTAATATGGAGGCTTTTAATTCCTGCTTGAGAAGAGTAATCAGGACACAGAGGTAGACTATCAACTGGCAGAACAGAAGACCTCCCTCCTCCCTTAACCAACTCTCCCACCTTCACTTAGCCATTTAAGATCTCTTAGCAGGGAACACAGCAACAAGACCAGACTCCTGGTTCTAGGCTGCATGGCAGTCTGCTCTGTGGCCATTTTAGGTGATGGGCTGCTGGTGACCATCCCCAGTAAGGGAAGGGCTAAGAGGTAGGGGTCTGGGTTCTTTGTGCTGACCACCAGTTCTGCACTGCAGGAAACTATGGATTCTCAGTTGAGCAAGTGCTCTCATCTAAGGACATCACAAACTGAAAGTGGTAATCTTGTCCAGGCAGTGGGTCTACAACCAGATTGGAAAGGCCTCTTAAATTTCATTAAAGCCAAACCAGTTGGGAGAAAGCCACATAGCACAAGCAAGCACAGGGCCTCACCATGTGGAGCAACTAAGTTTTTGTTTTGTTTTCAGATGGAGTTTCACTCTTGTTCCCCAGGTTGGAGTGCAGTGGTGTGATTGCCCACTGCAACCTCCACCTCCCAGGTTCAAGTGATTGTCCTGCCTTAGCCTCCCAAGTAGCTGGGATTACAGGCATGTGCCACCACGCCCAGCTAATTTTGTATTTTTAGTAGACAAGATTTCACCATGCTGCTCAGGCTGGTCTCGAACTCCTGACCTCAGGTGATCTGCCCACCTTGGCCTCCCAAAGTGCTGGGATTACAGGCATGAGCCACTGTGCCCACTAAGCAACTAAGTTTGTCTGCTGAAGAGACCTGCAGCCTCAGCAGGTGACCTAAGCACTTCTCGGGCACCCTGTAGCTACTGTGGAATAAGCTGACTGTAAACATGAATGCCACAGGAAACCCATCCATGTCTGAACCAAACCAGACACATCAGCCTGTCGGTTTGGTTGGATCTACCTTGTCACCTGCTCAGTTCTGAAACTGTTAGGGAGGATCAGAATGAAACTGGCCATTACCATCCAAGACTGCTGCCACTTCCTTACGTTCTTCTGGACCAACTGCCCCAAGAGGGCACCTTAGACGGTAGACTGCTAGATAACCAGAGCAGGAGGCAGTTTTCTTGTCACTTGTCTGAAGGTGGTTGTCTCACTGTATTAAGGCGTGGCTATTTTCCAGAGACCTGCACAAGCTGTATCCTAAGGGGAGGTGGGAATATCTCCCCTGAAGGGTAAAGTTACTGTCCGAATTAGTCAACTGGCTGCTCTCTATGGGTTAAAAGGGCACAGAAAGGCCTTTGGGAGTTGTGGTAGTAAAGATACAATTCTGCAGGGCAGGCCAAGAGCAGGAAGAGGGGACCATAGCAGGGGTTCCATAAGGGCTGGAACAGGAATTGGTGGTTCTAGAGCTAGGTAGCTATAGTTGGTTTGGAACCTGTTTAGGTTGATTCATGACACCTTCTTTGCCTTTAGTCACCCTTTGTGTATGACAGTCTTGCCCCAACTTTGTCCCAAGGACTTCAGGATCACAGGTGTTTCCAAATGGCCAGAGTGGTGGCATGCCTGAAAACAAGCCACAGGAAAATGAGGCTGGGGGGCAGGGGAGCTGTTCACAAGGAGATCCAACGGAAGTTTGTGCCTGAAGGCAGGTAGTGCTCCCTTCAAGGATACACCTTTGCATCCCATTCTGAGACTACTTCCTTAAATACAGAGATAATCCATTAACGGGATTGAGGGTGCTTTCACACAGTTTCCAGGAAGACATCCCCCTTTAACGGGAGCAAAAGAACTATGCTCTTAGAACTGTAGAAAGCAGGGGTGTTTTGTAATAGTCACAGGCAGGACAGTTTGCAGAGTGCTCTCACAAACTGGCATTATATATCCAAACAAAAGGGCACTCTGGTTACTCAAATGAATGTTTTTCTGGAATGAAGGTCAATCCCTTAGGCTACCATATCCAGCAGGACAGAAATCATGGGAGACCACCCAATTCAGACTATCCACAGTGTCCCCCAGAAGTCCCCAGGACTCATGATTGCTTCGTTTTCTTCATGGATACTTGGAAGTATGTAAAATGTTTTTTATTAACCATTTATAGTCTTGTACTCCACCTCATTAAATAGCCTGGATGGCATGGGTCTTGCCTACTGTATTCACAACTGCAATTTCACTGTATTAATGAACCAATGCCTGGCACATAGTCGCCCCTCAAATGTTTACTGCATGAAAGATTTCATTACACTAAAGAACTGTAGGGATTGTGCTCTACCATACGACCTTCTTAACCACTACTTCTCCAAGGGTTGTTCCTTGACCAGCTCCATCAGCATCCCCTGGAAACTTGCTCTCGCTTATAATCCCAGCAATTTGGGAAACAAAGGTGGGAGGATCACTTGAGTCCAGGAGGTTGAGGCTGCAGTGAGCTATGATTGTGCCACAGTACTCTAGCCTGGGTTAAAGAGCAAAAGCCCATCTCTAAAAAAATAAACTATTTTTTTTGTCTTGCCAGACATCTACCATTAAAGGTTTTTTGTTTTATAAACTAGTAGTTAAAAAAATTTTTTTTGAGATGGAGTCTCACTTTGTTACCCAGGCTGGAGTGCTGTGGTGCAATCTCAGCTCACTGCAACCTCCCCCTCCCAAGTAGCTAGGACTACAGGTGCACACCACCACACCAGGCTGGTCTCAAACTCCTGACCTTAGATGATCTGCCAAACCCTGGCCTCCCAAAGTGCAAGTGCTGGGATTACAGGTGTGAGCCACCACGCCTGGCCTAAAGCACTATTCTTTTCTTTTTCTTAAGACAAGAGTTTCGCTCTTGTTGCCCAGGCTGGAGTGCAATGGTGCCATCCACCTCACTAACCTCCGCCTCCC